CTGCAGACCCCTACGTCAAGGTGTACCTGCTGTGCCAGGGGAGGCGCATCAAGAAGCGCAAGACTACCGTGAAGCGCTCCTCCCTGGCGCCTGTCTACAACGAGGCGCTCGTGTTCGACGTGCCCGCCTCCAACGTAGAAGACGTGTCGCTAATCATCAAGGTCATCGACTACGACAGGTCAGTGCTCAGCAGCCTACTGTGCGCATTTTCATATTTTATCGGGGGGGGGGTGAGGGGAGGTCGCAGGCGTCCACGTGGGTTTCGCGGTCGGGCTCCGGTGGGTGGGTTTGAGGGGTGGGCGGATGTTTGCAAGCCTGCCTCCGATCAAGGTCGCACGCTCCTCGCCGCCCCCTCCACGCCCGAGCCCGCGGCCGATGCGCGCCGCGGCGCCTCTGTCTATAGCTCATTATTAGTGGGGCAGTAGTTGTTCGTGGCGAGCGGGGCGCTCTCGCCCGGGTCACGCCGCGCGCCACCACGTAACCGAATTGCTTTGGCGGGTAAACAATCTTGTGGTCCGACCAACTAGTTGAACCGCTCGGTCAACAGCGAGAACGGAGCTGAGCACCGCAGAGAGGGAGGGAGGGAGAGAGGAGAGAGGAGAGAGAGGTCCGGGAGGGCATGTATGGCGGACGGTATTGGACTGGCTGTGCGTGATCGGGCAACTCCACCGCCGAGACCGGTGGAGGCGGAGTGGGGGGGGGGGGGGTGCACGAGCTGCGCCCCGCACTGCAGGCAGCACGGGGGGAGGGGGGTCTGGTCTGGGTATGCAGCAGGACAGCTGCTGGCGCTTCATATGCCTGTTGTGCAGATTCTCTCTCGCTTGCTCTTGCTACCCGAGGCTGTCTCGTCCCCTCCCCTTTCATTTCTCTCTCTTTTTCCGCCCCTTTACCTCTTTTGAGCCTCTGAATACGGTCGTGTCCGGCTGGGTCCGCTGCTTCGGTCCGGTGGGTCTGTGCCGCTGTCCCTCCCGAGATCCTGGCTCAGCGTGAGAGAGGCCTGCAAGGTGCGGCTTGGGGGCGGGGTGGGGTGGGGCTTGGCGTGTCGTGGCGAGGTGTTCCATACTGCGTTGTGCAAATAGGCGTGCGGACCACGTGCCTCTACGATGGCCGTGAAGATGGGGTGGGGCGGGACTGACTCACGGTCATTGTATGAATAAGATGGCTGTGGAGGCAAACATGACCGCCGGATTTTGACCCCCCTCCCTCTCTCTTGCTCTCGCTTGCTCTCCCTCAATATTTCCCCACCCCCTCCCTCCCTTCCTCCCCGATATATTTTTTAGCTGCATCTTCATCTCCTTTTACTTTCAACATTATTCTACCCTCACCCTCACTACGTACTTGTGTTCTGTGCCCCCTCTC